GCGAAAGTTCAAGGCCAAGCAGGTACCAGGAGGAGTCAGGGAGGGAATGAGCATAGTGTTTACCCGGAGACCCCTGACCCCTGGGTCTCCACAGAGCCTTCCTCAGGAAAGCTACGTGCTCACTGGGCTTCTCCCACTGCGTCCCTGAGATTGCGCGGCTGGTACCCACCCTCTGGGAGGAGTCACGGTCCAGGTGCCCATGTTCACCTTGCAGCCTGGCACACTGCAAATGTGTACCTTGGTGGCCCGTGGGCACTGCTCCTTCCCAGGCTCACATGCTGTCACCCTGATGGGGAGGTGGGGGTTCGGTGACTTTGGAAGAGGGGAATAGTGCCTGGCAGCCCATCACCAGTATGCTCCCGCAGCTCACTCCACGGATCCTGGAAGCCCACCAGAATGTGGCCCAGTTGTCACTGGCAGAGGCCCAGCTGCGCTTCATCCAGGCCTGGCAGTCCCTGCCTGACTTCGGCATCTCTTATGTCATGGTCAGGTATGGCCCCCAGCCCATCCCCCTGCCCAGCACCGTCTCTGCCCTTACCTGCCACCCGGCTGCTGTGTGCCCACATCCCAAGAGTGGGTTCTGGACAGGCACCCCGAAGACTCCCTTCCCTTGTAAGCAGGCCTTACTGAGGGCCCCACGTGTGCCCCTCATGCTGTCCCTCCACAACAAACATAAGAGACAAAGCTCATGCCAGGTGCTGGGGCTCATGTCTGTAATCTCAGCACTTTGGGAGGCCGAGATAGGAGGATCACTTGAGCCCAGGAGTTTGGCACCAGCCTGGGCAACAGAGAAAGTCCCCTGTCTCTACAAAAAATTGTAAAAATTTAGCTGGGCACGGTGGTGGTCACCTGTAGTCCCCGCTACTCGGGAGGCTGAGGCGGGAGAATCTCTTGAACCCAGGATGCGGAGGTTGCAGTGAGCCAAGATCGTGCCACTGCACTCCAGCCTGGATGCGACAGAGTGAGACTCCATCTCAAGTAAGTAAGTAAGTAGATAAATAAATAAATAAAAGAGCCAGTGCGGTGGCTCACCCCTGTAATCCCAGCACTTTGGGAGGCCAAGGCAGGCAGATCATGAGGTCAGGAGATCGAGACCAGCCTGACCAACATGGTGAAACTCCGTCTTAAACACAAAAATTAGCCAGGCGTGGTGGCGCGTACCTGTAATCCCATCTTCTAGGGAGGCTGAGACAGGAGAATCACTTGAACTAGGGAGGTGGAGGGTGCAGCGAGCCGAGATTGCGCCACTGTACTCCAGCCTGGTGACAGAGCGAGACTCTGTCTCAAAAAACAAAAACAAACAAACAAAAAAAAACAAGAGACAAAGTTCAGGTCAGGAGAGCAGAAGAACCAGTTCTTGCCCCAGCTCTGCTGTGGACAGTTCACTGTCTGGGCCTGGGTTGGCCATAGCGGTGGATGCCATTATGGAGAGTGGACCCCTCTGATTAGTTGTTTCCCAAGACTGCAAAGAAGGGAGCGAGACAGCAGCTGATGAGGATGATACCAAAAACCAAAACCAGTTACCATTTAAAGGCATGGCCTGTTTGCCCGATGCTGCTAAATGCTGTTGTGGGGATTCTATCAATTAACCCCCATTTTCCAGACGAGAAACTTGAGGCCGAGGGAACCCACATGGCTTGCTCAGCGTCACAGAGCTGCGAGCTGCAGTTGGGAAGGGCTGGCTCTCCAGCGCGGCGCCACATTGTCTGGGCGGGCTTGGGCCATGTGGGGTGGAGCCCTGGCTGACTCTCTCCCGCTGGGGGTCAGGTTCAAGGGCAGTAGGAAAGACGAGATCCTGGGCATCGCCAACAACCGACTGATCCGCATCGACTTGGCTGTGGGCGACGTGGTCAAGACCTGGCGTTTCAGCAACATGCGCCAGTGGAATGTCAACTGGGACATCCGGCAGGTGGGCCCAGACCCAGGGTATGGATGGGGGACAGGTGCCAGGCCGGAGCTGTATCCAGCCAGGGTGGGGCAGGGGCTGCTCCCATATCCCACCCCCATTTGCCTCTCTGACTCTCTGCCCTTCAGGTGGCCATCGAGTTTGATGAGCACATCAATGTGGCCTTCAGCTGCGTGTCTGCCAGCTGCCGAATTGTACACGAGTACATTGGGGGTTACATTTTCCTGTCGACGCGGGAGCGGGCCCGTGGGGAGGAGCTGGATGAAGACCTCTTCCTGCAGCTCACCGGGGGCCATGAGGCCTTCTGAGGGCTGTCTGACTGCCCCTGCCCTGCTCACCACCTGTCACGGCAACTCCCAAGCCCACACCCACAGGGGCTCACTGCCCCACACCCGCTCCAGGCAGGCACCCAGCTGGGCATTTCACCTGCGGTCACTGACTTTGTGCAGGCCAAGGACCTGGCAGGGCCAGACGCTGTCATCACCCAGGCCAGGGATGGGGGTGGGGGTCCCTGAGCTCCTGCGGTACCCCCTTCCCTTGTCCGGGTGGCTAAGGCTGATACCCCTGAGCTATCTGCAGTCCCCTAGCACACAAGGAAGACCGGATGTAGCTACAGGATGATGAAACATGGTCTCAAATTGCAGTTTCTTTCTTGTTACTTTTTAAAATTTCTTTTTTATAAATTAATATTTTATTGTTGGATCCTTCTCCTTTCTCTGGAGCAGTACTTGGGGCCACTCCGACACTCTGTCTCTTCATCACCAGCCAAGGAAAGGGGCTTTCCTGATAGAGACAAGAGTTCGTTAAAGGGAGATCTAAGTCAGTCTGGGGTTGGAAGCTAGGAGAGAGGTGAGGGCAGAAGGACACAGACTTCAGGCACAAGGGATAGGGGCTGGGGTGGTGGCTCTCACGGGAAGGGCGTAGCTGCAGGGCCTCCTTGAAGTACTTGGGAAGCAGGAAGCCATCAATATTCCCTGGAGTCAGAATCACCCCATTGGCAGAGCGGAAGAAGGATATTCCATCTGCTGACAGAGCCAGAGATGTGACTCATGCCCTCCCTGAAGGCAAGGCCAGCCCCTGCTTTGTCCAGACTCACCTGCCAGAGCCAGGGGTCCATCAATGAACACAGCTATTTCACAATGGGGCCGCATGCCTGCAGAGACAGCTGAAGCTGGGGACTGGGCACCTAGAGGGCAGTCAGCAACCTGGGTAGACTGGGGTCCTGGGCTGGGATTGCAGGGTTGCTGCTCCATGCCAGGCATGGGGTGGCCTCAGACAAGTGTTGCAACCTTTGGAGGGGACCTGGGAGGACAGAGTGGGTGGGAGTAGCTAGGTGAGAGGGAAGAGCACTGACCACTGATGACACTGGGGTCTCCAGGCAGTCCTGGGGCCAGGTGGATGTGTGTCCTTCCCCCGCAGGACAGGCCCTTGAGTAGGATGGATGGCCAGTGCTTCCAGAATGTACCATGGACTAGCATCGGGGGCAGGGCCTGTGGCGTCTCCAGGGGCATCAACTCCAACTCAGGTACCTGGTTGAATAGGCAGCAGTGAGACCCCCTTCGCAGGCAGGGGTCCCTCCCATCTGGCTCTCTTGCTTGTCCCCTCACCCCGACCTGCAGGGAATGGCCCTGGTTGGCTCGGATGAGAAGGCCAGTGCTGGGATCCCCCTGCTGCAGGGCGAACCGCTGCTTCCTATTGGTGTCCACCACACGCTGCACATCTTCAGCAGAGAAGCCGTGGAACTGGGGCAACTGCAGGAGGGCGCCCAGGGGCACGAAGCCATCTGTGGGCAGGCAGGGTGCTCAGGAGCCAATCTTGCACTGGACTGGGCCAGGGTTAACAGGGAGCTACAGGCAACTGAAACAAAGTCTGGGCTTGGAGATCGCTTGGGCATCCTCTGTAGGACCTTTTGAGTCTCCCCTTTCTGGGTTCTAGTTTTTTCAACTTACATAAAAAGAGGATCTGCCTCACGGAGGGGCAGGGAGGTGAGTGCTCAGCATAGAGCTGGCCTGGAGTGCACTCACAACACCAGCTGCCCCATACCCTCCGGGGTACACCCTCGGGGTAAGTGCTGATCTGGCTGCTTGGCTGGAGGGGGCAGTCACCAGGCCTGGCCCAGAAAAGAACTCTCCTCAGTCTGCTGTGGACATGACAGGGCCTCTAGGCCTTGCTCTCCTCTGTGCATGGGGAAGAAGTGCGCTCTGTGCCTTCCTCAGGGAGCAGTGGAGGCAGCCATGGGGGAGGAGTCGCAGACAGGCTCACGTTTCTCTCTGGGCTCAAGCCCCAGCCTCCAAGGCCCCTACTTACCAGCTCCCATGGGAAGCCCCAGCTTCAAGGCCCCATGGCGCAGGGCATAGGACAGAGCCTTGGACAGCTGCACGTCTCGGTCCTGAAAGAACCCAGCAGTGGCCCCTGGTCTCCATGGTGACCCTGCCCTGCTGCCCATCCTGAACCCTCAATGACCCACTGCAGAGAGAGCCCAGAGAGAAAGGAGTGCCAGTGGTCTCCAGGAATAGTAGGACCCTTCAACTCCTCCCCCCAGCAACTCCCAGGGAGCCTGGACTGGTGGGAGGGGGTGGGGAGGAGGCGCGCACCTGTTCCCGGGGTCTGGGGGCCCTTCTACCCCTGGACCCTGCTGCTTCCTGCCTTCCTCCTCCAGAGGAGTTCATGGCCAAGATCTGTGGGGAGCAGTGACGAGGGGGGACTGCTTTAAGGCCCCTCCCACGTCCCCACCCCTCCCAGAAAGTCACAAAGCCTCAGGAAGTGAGCGCTGGGTGGGAGTATAAGGCTCATTAAGTTCACCACCTCCATGCTCTGCTGCAGAGAGGGAAACTAAGGCCCAGCAGGCTAGACTTGCCCAAGGTCACACCGTCAGCCACGAGCGCAGGGAGGCCGAGTCCCACACTCCAGATCACTGGTGCCCCCTGCAAGGTGGTCTGGGAGGCGGGGCCGACGTGCAGACTGATGGGGCGGAAGCGTCCGGGCTGCGGGTACAAACCTCCACGCTCCTTGACCCCGGCGGGGCGGGCGGCGGGCACGCCAATGAAAAGCCGTGGGGGAAGGGGGCGGGCACTTCCGCTTCGGGGAAGGGGCGGAGCCCGCGTGAACTGGAGGCCGGGGAGCGCCGGCTGGAGGCTGGAGCTTCCGGGCCCTGGAAAGGGGTCCCCACGCGTCCCGAGTCGGAGGCAGACCCCTGGGTTTGAGGGGAATGGGCATTTGGGGGCGCCTGAACCCAAGACCTCTGGATGGTAGGGATGCCCGGGCGTCCCGGACACCCTGCGGGACTCGGGGCTCCTGCGGGGAAGAAGGGGCGCTTTACTGCCCAGGGAGTGGTCGGGGGGTGGAGAAGGGCTGCGGGTACCCTCAGGAGGTCTGCGACAGACGGGGCCAGCTGCGCAGCCCAGGAGTGGTAGTGGCCCCCCTGGGTGACAGGCCTGGCTCTATCCTCCCCCAGAGCTGCCCCGTCCAGATCATGGATCCTGAGGTGACCCTGCTGCTGCAGTGCCCTGGCGGGGGCCTGCCCCGGGAGCAAGTACAGGCCGAGCTGAGCCCCGCCCACGACCGACGCCCACTGCCAGGTGGGGACGAGGCCATCACTGCCATCTGGGAGACCCGGCTAAAGGCCCAACCCTGGCTCTTCAACGCCCCCAAGTTCCGCCTTCACTCAGCCACCCTGGCGCCCATTGGCTCTCGGGGGCCACAGCTGCTTCTGCGCCTGGGCCTTACTTCCTACCGAGACTTCCTGGGCACCAACTGGTCCAGCTCAGCTGCCTGGCTGCGACAGCAGGGGGCCACCAACTGGGGTGACACGCAGGCCTATCTGGCGGACCCACTGGGGGTGGGCGCTGCACTAGCCACGGCCGATGACTTCCTTGTCTTCCTGCGCCGCTCCCGGCAGGTGGCTGAGGCCCCTGGGCTGGTGGATGTGCCTGGTGGGCACCCTGAGCCTCAGGTGAGATGCCAGGCTGGGCACAAAGACCCAGACGGCTCAAGGGAGCTGCAGCTCTCCACCCTCCCAATCCTCCCAGCTTTGGTTTCCTCATTCCTTAAAGGGAAAATTGGCCTGGTGTTTCTCTGAAAGTTTGCTCAGGGCAGTCCAGCTGCCTCCCCACTGACCCCTGCCCCAGTCCTGTGAGAAACTAGAAAACACAGGGGGGAAAGACTGGGCACAGGAAGAAGATGCCCTACCTCACCCCTGCCCCCTGTGTATCCCCTTTGAAGCTGGACCGCTGGTTGTCTGCCAGGAAAAGGACACCAGACGCAGGATCACTAAGTCTCTTACACTGTGCCACATCAGGCCCTTAGAGCCAGCAGGTATAGGCTTGCTGGTCCTGAGATGGGGCAGGGGGAAGAGGTGGGGAGCAGGAGCTGAGCCTGACCTCTCACAGGCCCTGTGCCCTGGTGACAGCCCCCAGCACCAGGACCTCGCTGGGGAGCTGGTGGTACGTGAGCTCTTTTCCAGTGTCCTTCAGGAGATCTGTGATGAGGTGAGTGAGGGTGAGCTGGACAGGGTGGTAGACATAAAGGGAGGGGTTAGGACTTGCCAGAATTCTACAGATCTGGGCTGGCGGGAGGCCTGCAGGCATCTGGCCAGCAATGATAGAAGAAATTGGCTTTGCAGCTAGGCATACTAGGAGTGGAATTCTAGCCCGCAGTACTCTCTGCCTTGGATTCTTCTTCTTTTCTTTTCTATTTTTTAGACAGAGTCTCGCTCTGTCGCCCAGGCTGGAGTGCAGTGGCGCGATCTCAGCTCACTGCAAGTTCCGCCTCCCAGGTTCACACCATTCTCTTGCCTCAACCTCCCGAGTAGCTGGGACTACAGGTGCCCGCCACCATGCCTGGCTAATTTTTTTGTATTTTTAGTAGAGACGGGGTTTCACCATGTTAGCCAGGATGGTCTCGATCTCCTGACCTCGGGATCTGCCTGCCTCAACCTCCGAAAGTGCTGGGATTACAGATGTGAGCCACTGTGCCCAGCGGATTCCTCTTCTTTTCTTTTCTTTTTTCTTTTTGAGACAGAGTCTTGCTCTGTTGCCCAGGCTGAGTGCAGTGGTGCCATATCGGCTCACTGCAAACTTTGCCTCCTGGGTTCAAGTGATTATCATGCCTTGCCCAGCCAAAGATTCTTCTTTTCTTTTTTTTTTTTTTTTTTTTTGAGACAGAGTCTCGCTGTGCTCCCAGGCTGGAGTGCAGTGGCGTGATCTCGGCTCACTGCAAGCTCCGCCTCTCGGGTTCACGCCATTCTCCCGCCTCAGCCTCCCAAGTAGCTGAGACTACAGGCGCCCGCCACCACGCCCGGCTAGTTTTTTGTATTTTTAGTAGAGACGGGGTTTCACCATGTTAGCCAGGATGGTCTCGATCTCCTGACCTCGTGATCCACCCGCCTCGGCCTCCCAAAGTGCTGGGATTACAGGCTTGAGCCACCGCGCCCGGCCTGATTCTTCTTTTCAATGGAAACAATGATAAATATCTTACCTACTCCCCAAGTTTGTTGAAAAAGGAGTAAGTGTGGCAGGGCGTGGTGGCTCACACCTGTAATCCCAGCACTTTGGGAGGCCGAGGCCAGTGGATCATCTGAGGTCAGGAGTTCGAGACCAGCCTGGCCAACATGGCAAAACCCCGTCTCTACTAAAAATACAAAAATTAGCTGGGCATGGTGGCGTGCACCTGTAATCCTAGCTACTCAGGAGGCTGAGGCAGGAGAATCACTTTAACCTGGGAGGCAGAGGTTGCAGTGAGCTGAGACGGTGCCACTGTACTCCAGCCTGGACGACAGAGCGAGACTCCATCTCAAAACAACAACAACAACAACAACAACAACAAAAAAAACGGAAAAAGGAGTAAGTGGGAGTCCCAGTCACTAAATTGACTTCACTTGGGTGACCTTGGGCAACGTGTTCAATCTCTCTGGTTTTGGTGTACCTGTAAAACATGCCCATCATCTGATATTCTGTGATGCCAGGCCCTTGATCTACAGGCTGTAAAGTGCTGTACACAGGCAACAGGCTGTTTTTCATTGAGAGGGGCAGGGATGTGGGCAGTGGCATTGATAGGGGGGACCTCCCTCTACCCCACCCTCCACCGCAGGTGAACCTGCCGCTACTCACCCTGAGCCAGCCCCTGCTGTTGGGCATCGCTCGAAACGAGACCAGTGCTGGCCGAGCCAGTGCCGAGTTCTATGTCCAGTGAGTGGGCTCGGGTACATGATCCTGGGTCTTGGGGAGGTGGGTGGTGAGGAGTGGGCTGAGGCAGCTGTGGCTCCACAGGGACCCCGCAGGGGCTGGTCACCCACTAAGCCACCCTGTGTTCTTGTCCAGGTGCAGCCTGACTTCTGAGCAGGTGAGAAAGCACTACCTGAGTGGGGGACCCGAGGCCCACGAGTCTACAGGAATCATCTTTGTGGAGACACAGGTGCAGAGTGACAAACCATCTTGCTTGGAGGCCAGGGCTGGGGCCTGCAGAGGCCTGGCAATGCATTATCTCGTAGGGGAGGTGTTGGCTGGGTCACAGTTCCCTCCAGAGGCACAAGATCTGCCCTTAGTGCAAGGGAAAGGTCCAGGGACCTGTTCAGCCCCTTAACATGCCTCCCTAAGGACAGTGCAGAGGTCTCTGAGGCTCAGGAATTCTGGGCACAGCCCTGGCAGGAGATGTGGCAAGCTTGAATGCCTGGGTCTTGTTGTCTCCCCACAGAACGTGCGGAGATTGCAGGAGACGGAGATGTGGGCTGAACTCTGCCCCTCGGCCAAAGGCGCCATCATCCTCTACAACCGGGTTCAGGGAAGTCCCACCAGAGCAGCCCTAGGGTCCCCAGCCCTACTCCCACTGCTCTGAAGATAATAAAGGACTTTATTCTTGGATTCCGTTGGCATCTGCTATTTCTGTGACAGAGAGGAACAGTGGGCCCTGAGTGCGTAAGGCAGGACAAGTGACCTGAGGGAAAAAAAAAAAAAAAACCCGCCCAGCCTCAGTGTCCTTCTCTACAAGCAGAGGATAAGAGCTATGGCTCCCTTGATTGCCTCCTGAGAGGCTCCGGGGCCGAAGCAGCTCTGTAAGATATGCCTCGCTGCAGAGGGGAGCAACAGAGGAACGGAGAGACGGTGGCCGGGCCGAAAGCGTCACAAAGCCTCAGAGAGCGGGCTCTGTCCCGCCCGGTCTCCGGGTGGGCGCCCGCGCCTGTCTGGAGAGTCCACAGGCTGGGGGACCGGAGGCACCAAAGGCCAATAGACAGGTAGGGGCGGGGGCTTCACCGATTTTTTTTTTCCCGCCTGGTGGACGTGGTCTTGGCATCCACGCCAATGAGAGTGCGAGGGCGGGGCCTGAATAGACGCAGGAAATGGCGACGGCCGCGGGTCATTGAGCAGCGGGGGCGGGGCCTGGTTGTGGCCCCTCCTTCGCCCGTCCACAAGCTCCCTGGGTGGGAACGGGGTCTCGGAGTACCTGGCTGGTTGGCCAGACCCCGAAGCCAGCGCTGGGAAGGGCTGCGGATGCCCAGGTGAAAGAAAGGGGCAGGTCCAAGAATACGCAGGTCTGGTCCTGGGCAAGAACCGCCCCCTCCCGGGGCCTGCTTCAGTTTTCCTTCGCAGAACACCGGGCTGGGTGGGCCCCTTCTCTCTGCCCCCGGGTACTTGAAGTCTAGCCCCCATCCTGGTACCAGTGCGCTCTTGGTAGCCTCCTTTCCCAGCTGTCCGCCCGCCGCCATGCCGCCCTTACTACCCCTGCGCCTGTGCCGGCTGTGGCCCCGCAGCCCTCCCTCCCGGCTCCTCGGAGCGGCCGCCGGGCAGCGGTGAGTTGGGCGCGGGGGGCCGGCCCGGTTGTTCAATGGGTTTCTGTTTGCCCTATGTGCTGAGATAGTTGTGGTCTCTACTCCGTGTCAGGAGGCTCCCAGGTTTGTCTCAGGTAACCCTCGCCTTCCCTGCTGAGGATCAGAGATAGAGAAGACCCCCAAGGTCATACACCGATTTAAGCAGCAGAGGAGGAGTTTGAGTCCAGGTTAAACCCAACGCTCTTACCACAGCTCTAGTGGTTTTCAAGCATCACTGTGCGTAACCCTCTGTGGGAGGTGGGAGATGGGGAGGTGTTGGGTACAAAAATCCAGATTCCTCGGCTCTGCTTTAGAGATTCTGAACTGGAGGAATCAATTAGGTGGGGCTCAGGAATCAGTTTTTTCTTTCTTTTTCTTTTATCTTTTTTTGGAGACGGAGTTTCGCTCTTGTTGCCCAGGCTGGAGTGCAAATGGCACAATCTCTGCTGGGCACAACCTCGGCTCACTGCAACCTCTGCCTCCCAGGTTCAAGCGATTCTCCTGCCTCAGCCTCCCCAGTAGCTGGGATTACGGGCATGCGCCACCACAGCCAGCTAATTTTGTATTTTTAGGAGAGACAGGGTTTCTCCATGTTAGTCAGGCTGGTCTTGAACTCCTGACCTCAGGTGATCCGCCCTCCTCGGCCTCCCAAAGTGCTGGAATTACAGGCATGAGCCACCGCAGCTGGCCAGGAATCAGTATTTTCCAACAAGTTTTTGGACTCCACTTTGAGAAATCCTGACCTGCACTATGCCTGAAACACTCCAAAGGGAGACAGATTTGTCCTGGGACCTGTTTCAGCCCTCTCAGCTCCTGGTGGCTGAGTTGAAGGGTGTAGCCCAGGGAGGGGCTGGGAAGGGCAGGGCAGAGCTAGCTTCTGGGTTCCCTCAGCCCCTGCAGGTTTTCGACTCTGTCCACAGGTCCAGCCCCAGTAATTATTATGAACTGTTGGGGGTGCATCCTGGTGCCAGCACTGAGGAAGTTAAACGAGCTTTCTTCTCCAAGTCCAAAGAGGTACCGGTACCCCTAAGGTGGGGAGGGGGAGCAGGAACTCTGAGCCAGTGGGGGTGTGCTTCAAATTCCCAGGAGTAGACCTGCATCTCTGGCTGGTGCTACATTTTTTTCAGCCCTCATAGGGAGTGGCAGGTGCTCAAGGGTGGGGGAAAGGCTGTGGGCAGGAGCCAGGGGTCCTGTCTGATGGGCTGGGCTTCATTTTCTTGACCTGCCTGCCTGCTCTTAAGAAACCTGGACCAGGGCATATGGTGAATGCAGGGGGCTGGCAGGTGGGGAGGGCTTGAACGCAGGAGGAGGCAGGAGTCCATGCTCTCTGGCCTTCTGAGGAGTGGGCAGGCCTGAGTGAGGGTCACTGACCAGGCAGGGCTCCTGGGTATGACTGGAGCCCTGGTGTGGGTGGATGTCATCAGCATGGGTCCTGGGGAGGGACAGGCAAAGGGAGATAAGGGGAGTCCTGCCCCACCCCAGCTGCACCCGGACCGGGACCCTGGGAACCCAAGCCTGCACAGCCGCTTTGTGGAGCTGAGTGAGGCATACCGTGTGCTCAGCCGTGAGCAGAGCCGCCGAAGGTATGATGCTCAGCTCCGCTCAGGTGGTCCCCCAAAGTCTCCACAAACCACAGCCCATGACAAGTCTGCCGGCCAAACACACAGGTACAGTAATCCCGCCCTCAACTTGCCCCACCCCCAGGTCTCTTGGGGAGGCTCATTTCCACAATGTCCCTTCCTCTGCCTCCCAGCAGCTCCTGGGCACCCCCCAACGCACAGTACTGGTCCCAGTTTCATAGCGTGAGGCCACAGGGGCCCCAGTCGAGGCAGCAGCAACACAAACAAAACAAGCAAGTGCTGGGGTACTGCCTCCTCCTCATGCTGGCGGGCATGGGCCTGCACTACATTGCCTTCAGGTGATGCCTGTTCTCCCTGGGGTGATGGGCAGAGGGCAGGAGGGTGGGCGAATTCCAGTGTGGTCAGCCAGTCCTCCACAGCACCTCGTGTCCCGTACTATTGTGTCTCTCAAGCTAAGAGTTGCTTGAGATCGGTCTCTGGAGCCTCTCCTTGCTTAGTAAAGACAGCGCTGCACTAAGAGCTAACACTGTCATTTACACTTTTTCATATCTCGAATATAAATCTTTCGTGCTGGCTGCCAGGAAGGGATTGAACCAAACAAAATCAAGCACAAGCAGCAAATGCAGCACAGCTCATTCATTTGGCAGCAGGCATCTCCCCGCCACTCTCGCGTGCCACGAAGCTGATTCTCTTTTTTGTTTTCTTTTTTCTTTTTTTTTTTTTTGAGGTGGAGTCTCACTCTGTCGCCCAGGCTGGAGTACAGTGGCGCGATCTTGGCTCATTGCAACCTCACCTTTGCCTCCCGGGTTCAAGCAATTCTTCTGTTTCTGTCTCAGCCTCCCAAGTAGCTGGGACTACAGGCGTCTACCACCACGCCTGGCTAATTGTTTTGTAGTTTTAGTAGAGATGGTGCTTCACCATACTGGCCAGGCTGGTCTCAAACTCCTGACCTCATATGATCCATGCTCCTCAACTTCCCAAAGTAGAGGGATTACTGGCGTGAGCCACCGCGCCTAGCCACGAAGCCGATTTTCTATAGCAAATACCTAAAGGCCAGTGCCCACTGCTAGCAGCCTGCCTAGTTCAGTGATGGAGTTAGATGCATACCCTTTCTAGTCTTCTGGGAGGAGCACCCCCATGTCCACAGCTGCTGTAACACCTCGAAGTGGCCAGGGACTTCGGATGCCATTGGACCCTAGACAAGCCAGGGCCACTCTGAGCCCTCCCTACCTATCACAGGCAGGGTTAGGCTGAGGTCCCTAACCCTGTGTGGGTTAAAAAGCTGTGAGGCCCCTAGAGTGGGGTGGAAGGGGGCAGGACTTCAGGGACAACAGGAATTCGAGTCCCAGGGTTAATTGTGACACATTGCAGGAAGGTGAAGCAGATGCACCTTAACTTCATGGATGAAAAGGATCGGATCATCACAGCCATGTACAATGAAGCGCGGGAGCGGGCGCGGGCCAGGTCTGTCCCTGCTCTATTCTGCCCCCTGCTCCCTGTCCCGGCACCACACTTCGGGATCCCTATCCCAACCACCCAGGTGCCCTCTCCTCCAGGGCCAACAGAGCCAGCCTTCAGCAGGAGCGACAACAGCAAAGGCAGCAGCAGCCGCCACCACCGGAGCCAACCCAAGTCCCCGAGATCGTGCCCCCGGGCGCCGGCCCCTGAGGGGCTCACCTGGATAGGGCCTGCAGTGCGTTCCCGCCTTGCTTCCTTCCCTGGACTGCCCGCTTCCCAAAACGCGTGCAATAAAGTGATTCGCAGAGCTAGCGTGCGGCTCCCTCCTTCAGGCCCGGCGCCCCCTGCCCCGGCTTCGCCGAGGGGCAGCGCCC